AACATATTCTCTTCAAAAAAGTTTGTGGAATGTCCTGTATATAACTCGGATAACATAATTTAAATTAATTTTAATTAAGTAAACTATTTTAGTAATTTTGTTATTATAATATATTATTAACTTATGGTCTGAATATGTAAGTATTTTAATATTTACCTATTAAGTATTTTTTTACAATTATTAGCTACAATTAAATACATATTATATTATATGCAGTAAGCTAGTTGTTAATGTTATAGATTATATTTATGTATAAAATATACATAGTATGTTTATATATTTTTTAAGATTCTGATGGAAATGGCATTGACTCAACACATGAGAAAAATAAGAAAATTCAAACAAATCTGTTGAAAAAGAAAAATGGATGGTCTCCCTCTCCAAATAAAAATTGAAGGTATTATATTATTGTACTTAACTAATATGCTATAACTATACTAAAACTATATTATTATTTTAATCAATATTAACTTAAATTTTACACTTTTTAAGTATGATAAATACCTGCTTCCTACAAGTTAGTTTAGATTGACCTAATCTTTGGTTTGAAAAATACACTACTACTTTGATCGTCATATAGCTACTTTGAACTAAATTATCTGCACACATTTTTGTTAACGTCATTGTTTTAAATGTTACAAGTACATTTCATTAAAGAAAAAAACAAATCTGAAATTTAGGGTACCCAATAAACAAGAAATTTACTGATTATTTAATATCTTATTATAAATACTTACATAATTACTGTAAATTAAAAAAAAAACTAATTTCAGAGGCTGAAGAAACATCATTTTTTAACTTAAAATTTACATTTAGAACTGATAATACTCAACAATAAAATAAAAATTGAATTAATTTCATGTTATTAAATTATTATGTTAAAAATTTTTAGAAGTAAATAAATATCATTTTTAACAATTTTAATTAACCTTTGCATTTTATGTTTTCTTATTTGGTTTTCTATCTCATATATGAAAGTGTGTGGATGTTTTTATTATATTTTACTTTCAGACATTAAAATATTTTATATATTAAGAAAGTACCTATTTTTCTACTTTTACTAAAGGAGTATTTTACAAAAGGCAATTAATCTGAACAATTGATCACTAAGCAGTAATAATTTGAAAACTAAAACGGTTGAGTAATATTAATTAATAAATGTATGTTATATATATTAATATATTGATTAAATATTTGTTAAATACATGTAATAAATATTGGTAAAAAAATCTTATCTTAATATTAGATTACAATATTAAGTAAACAAATAAATTTGGTTCATTCAATAATTAATTAATATTGGTAAATGTTAAAAAATGTATCCTTAATCAATAAATAATACTTAATTAATGTTATATAATTATATATTTGTATGTTTAAAAATAAATATTTATGTAACATTAATTAAATGCTAGTTTGTTACTTGGGTATTATATCTACCTATTTTAAAATGTAGTAACTATAAAGTATATTATATTAAATGTATACTATTTCATTATAAGTTATTTAATAAAAATTTATAGCTTTAAACATAAATAAAAGATCAGCAAATGAATTTTTTAGATTATTAACCTTTATTTATAACAATTTTAATATCTAATAAATATTTATATGTATAGTAAAAGTATAGGAGTTTCTTATCATAATATGGCTGTCAAATTTTTTTCAACTGATGTCTGATAATCACACATCAGAAAACTTTTTTTAAATTATTAGTTAAAAAAAAAAACCAGAGGAAGAAGAAAAGCTTTTAGACGAGGTGATATCAATGTAGACATGAATAAATGCTGATAAATTATTATTCAAAATAAAAGAAAATTTTAGATAAATCAACAATGTTAAAGATAACGTGTAAGATAAAAAAATAAAATGTAACAGTAAGTTAAAGTAATGTTATTAGTGTAATTGATACTGAATTTAAAGAAATAGAATCGACAAATTTGAAACTAAATCTTTTAACTGTGTTAAATAGTTTTAAAACTGTATTGCTTTGTGAGTAAATTAGTTCATTTATAATTGATGATGTGATCGGATACTTAATTATTAATAATAGAAAAGTAAAGTATCTTCTATATTTTCTCATCTGGTATAAAGGAATATTTTTAAGGTATGCAAAATTATACTATTAAAATATATAAAAAAAAATGAAACTTATACTTACTTGAAAAATGGATTTAGTTTTGATTATCATAAAGATACATTTTAGAAGAAAATATTAAATTTTAGGTATAATTAATTTTAAACTTCAAATGATAATTATTTTTGACTCACTTCTTTCTCTGGATGATAAGAAAGAGTATTTTATTTTTTAATTTAAATTAACATATTTATCATTCATGCTATAATATTTTAAACTATTTTAACAAAAAAAGTTTGAAATTTAACTTGAATAAATGGCAATGTGTGTACTATATATGCTAATGATTCAATACTGCAATTTGCAATGCAAAGCAACATGTTTGATTGTGGTTTATTGTATGTATCTATACTTACAAGCATTTTATTACCTACATCACTGATTCATATTTCTTCAAAACATTTTTAAATTATGTCTGAGAATAATTATTTTATATTTCTAAAATTATTTAAATCAATTTATAAGACTAGATCATATATACTTCAAAAAATATGATACTTGACTTTTAAATTCAAAAAATATTTTAAATTTAATAAAATTACTAGTTAGCAAATGAACAATTATAATAATTTTATTTTACGATCCATTATATCATTCCAGCTTAGCTTTTAAATATTAAATTAAAAATAAAATAAAATAATGCTTATTATACAGGATTATTCAAAATGATTCATTTGATTTCAAATGGTTATATTTTTTAATTTGTTAGGTTTAGTGTAACATGTGCTACATTTAATAAAACTAATAAAATAATAATATTTCAAATTTGTGATAATACTAATAATTCTATGTAATTTTCTTTAATTACACAAATAATAACTAATCAGAACTCTAATTCATTTCATTGTAAATTACTGCTCTAATTTTTAGCAACTATTTGATGAAAATAGAAGTAAATTTACAGTGTCTTTAACATATTCCTAAAATATATAGTTGCATGGCGTAAGATCAGGTGATTCAGAAAGTCAAGTGTAAAGTATTAGATGATATATTTTGAATATCATGTCTATTAATTTATAAATAAAAAAAATATTAAATTATTAAGTTTTGCATATTTAAACTGTTCAAATGATTTTTATTAAATATTATCTGAAACAACTAAGTAAAATCTAACCAACATTAAACTAATAATGTATACTAATAATGTATAATGTATATCGTATTTCATATTACAGAAGTTAAGAATTTTTATTAAAGCTTTCGAATGTTTCAATATTAAATAGGTATATATTATATTTGTTATTTAGTGATGCATGGTAGTTGTATACTTATTTGTAATTGTTAATACGCTAAAGCAATCAATTGACTTATTACTTATTAGTATTCATAGACTAGCTGTATAGATGCAAAAATACTACATAATTAAATTGTGACTAGTAACAGTAACAAACATATCAAAAAAAAAAAAAAACACATACATTAAGGTGTTCTTTATTTTTACACATTTATTAATATCTTAATAATTAAATTAAATTCTTTAATCTGCATAAATTTATTGATATAAATGATGGTAAAAATTCAATTATATATGATTTTAATATTATTTTACTATTAACACAAAAATATTATCACAAAGATGTTACCTATTTAAGTTTAATAGTTACTTGAATAAATTAATTAAATTTCTAAGAAAAATGTATAATATTGTATAGCATCCTTAAAGGTAAATTAAAGAATAACATCACAGAAATGATGTACAATCAAAGGTTCAGATCTATCGCACTTATACTGTATAAATTATCGTTAACATTTTTTAGATTATATTCTTCATTTTAAGCAGAAATATTATTAAAAATAATTTGCTATTCAATTATTTTGTTACGTGAATAAGAATATATTATAAATAAAATAATATCATAAAAATATTTACCATCTTCAAAAAATAAGTAGATAATTAAAATACCACTAATAATATTATTTTTGAACAATAATTCCATCTTTTTAGTGAAATTAATAGATACTTTAAATTTGATAAAGTATATTGTGATGAGTGCCAGATTAATTTTTTCATGAAATTGAAATCTAACATATTGGTAATCGATATCATTATGATATACGAGTAAATGGTAAATCTTTATAAGCAAAATACATTTTTATTTTTTAGTAGTTAATTGATAACTTTACTATCGATTGATATTTTTAGAATTAAAAATGGTATATGTTTTATCTGTCATTATATTTTAAAATGTTAATAATCACTAAGTATTTTGTAGTATTGTTTTATTTCAGCACCACTGTGGAACTTGACCACACAGTACAGTCAATTAGATACTCAAAAATAAATCTAATATAGTAATACTATAATACGTTTATCAATAGAAATATCTAATTGTAGTAACTTTAAATAGGTACTAACATTTCAAAAATTTCAGCGTAATATTTATTTTGTTTTTCTTTTAGACCAATGCGCGACACACAATTAATTACACAACGCAATCACGTAAAATCGTTTTTAATGTTTTAATCTTAGGGTAAAATCATTTATAAAAGTTGTAGAGGATTATATTTTCGATGGCGTGACATATTGGTGTGGTTTTTATAATTTATTGTTACCTATTTTATTTTATATTCAACTTTAAAAATATTGTTTATTATCATAAATTTAAATGAATAAGATCTTGTTTTATATTAGTGTATTATCGCCTGTTTCCGATCAGCTCATATATATATATATATATATGTATTAAATAGGTATAATTTTTTTATTAAATGAACTTAAAACGTATGCATTTTAATATAATATAATATAATCAAGGTTGCGGTACAACTCAAAATTGCAGTATACAAATAATATATATATCATATATGTATAATTATAATGTATATACTAATTATACATAAATCTATGTTAGAACCGTCTAGATTACGGTTGTTTATTATTATGATGAAATATAGTTTGGGCCATGAAGGCAACCGTCTTCGAGGCTTCCGCGATCTCTACTGCGTTGTCCAAGGCGGATTCAATAGCGTTGTCCAAGGCGGACCCGTCCGTCAAATCGGTTACTAAGTTGGTTACCACTTCCGCATCTGACGGTGATGCAAACTTGGCGCTCGAAGATATTACTTCTGCCGTAGCTTTCGTTGATTCTGTTGGTGGTGTAACCACTGACGTCACTGTAGACTGCTCCGAGTTGTGCCTGAAAAATCCAGATACGAAGCCCCTATCATAAATAATGCGCATTACTGGATTGGATCGGATAATGGCCACCGGGCACGTGCGCCACATGTCCAACAACAACCCGTCTCTACTATCCTTGGAACTATCATGATTCTCATGGTTATTGGTGTCAATTGTCTCGTGTTGCCTATCTAAATAGTACTTCCTTGGTGACTGACTTAAGTCATCACTTGATGAAGAAAGAAACGACATCATAACAATGTCTGCAATTTATTCTGAAATGAAAGATTATTATATAATATAATATTAGTTATTATATAGTTATATGAATGGTTTAACAACCTAGGTTAGTAGATACAGTTTAAAATTATAAACATAATACAGATCATTAGCTTACGGAGAGCTTTATTTTTGCACCCATTCTATCTATAATTTACAATTACAAACATCCATATAAATATTTCAGAATTATTTATTTAACAAAATTTTTCACATTTTAATTTAATCATTAATAATATGTTTTTCGTTGTAATTTAATATTTATGTACCTACGAGGTTTGTAAATAAAGTAATGAGACTGATTTTTTAAAATTTTTTTATTAAACTAAAATGACTACTTTACATTGTCTCCTACAAAGTAGTTACCCTGAGAATCCATACAGCGCTGGAGTCAATGTTTCCATTGTTTATAGCAGTTCTGGAACTCAGTTACTGGAATAGCTTTCAGTTCATTGGTCACAGATGATTGAATATTTTTTAGTGTCCCAAAATGTCGTCTTTTAAGGTGAATCTTTATTCGTGGAAAGAGAAAAAAGTCACAAGGGCTCAAGTCGGGTGAATAAGGGGATTGAGGGGCCACAGGAATATTTTTGGTTGCCAAAAACTGGTTGATTGAAATGGCTGTGTGACAAGGCGCATTGTCATGATGCAGCACCCAGGTGTTTTTGATGTTTGAGTCAATCCTAACTGTTCTCCGATCATTCTGACGGTCAACCGATGATCGGATCGGACAAGATCTCGAACTCTGATGACGTTTTCATCAGTTTTTGCAGTTGAAGGTCTTCCACTGCGAGGTTCATCTTCAATCGCCTCTCTGCCTTCAGAAAATGCCTTAAACCATCTAAAAACCTGAGCCCTTGAAAGTTTCTGTTGCACTGTGTCCAAGTTTGAAACAAAATCGGATAGCACACCGTTGCTCAAAAATCAAAATTGTTGTCACTCATTTTCAGAACGTACTAAAAAAAATTGGTTTACGAAAATAATTGTCACAGACCAACACGCGACACTACGAAGTTTAAACTCGTACTTAAGGTACATTAAATGTTTATCTACAAACCTTTTCAAACGGAATGTCATTAGTGTTGTCATATAACAAGCTACGATATCAGTCTCATTACTTTATTTACAATATTTGTATAAAATAATACATAATATTTATGTGCACAGTGCACTTGAATATGTACGATAACTATTTTTGTGGTCAGCAAAGATGTCGTTGACCACTGATTAAGTATAGATAAAATGAAAAACGAATACGAAATAAAAATATATATAATATATATTATCTATAATAAATAATAATTGTACCTACGTATGATAGACATGTTAATAAAACCGAGAATTGTATAATTTTAAAAAGGTTGATGAAATTAAATTATATAAATACAAAATAATAATAATAATAATAAAAATAATAACACGACAACACGTCGTTAGAAAACGTTTTAGGAAAGGCTAAGTGAGGTAATAAATTAAAATCAATACCATTCGAATAAGTTTTTAATTTAAGGTTATTAGGATTAGTTAATTTAGTTGGTTTAAGTTTAGTAAAGTTTAAAATATCAAACACGTGATGTTTACTTATTCGAAACTAGCAATAAAATTAAAAGTTACACTTTTAACTCAGAAAAGAACACTTATTAGTAAGTCTCGGAAGTTGATGACCTTAAAAACATTAAAAAATGGCCTAAAAATAATACAAATATGACTAATACATGACAAAAATGACAAGGAATGACTTAAAAAGTAAAACAAGCCAAAAAATGCAAAATCAAAATTAGTTGTTTAGATTTACATGTTTATATGAAACATATTTGTGGCCAGGAGAGCATCGTCTAATAAGCTCTAAAAAAATATGTTAAATGCACCTACTTCCAAGCCCTACTTATTAGTGTTTACTGTTTACCTCTGGGTGTGGGAGAGTTGGGAATCGTAATCCCATTGGACTTATAAATATAAAATATTGTGATTTTTCCGATGATAAGATATGTCTTCAGCTTATAAAGACTTATTATTGTTGTCTTTATTATACTATATTAACAATTAACCTAATGGCTAGCTTTATCATTTTATTTTTCATTACAATACATGATTTTTCATAAACCTTTAGTCCTTAAAGTACGGAATAAATTTAATTTAAATTAAATGTATTCTGTACTTAAACATCACATACCTATCGGTCATCTTATTTGAAGATATTATACATTTTTCAGGGAGTTAAATAATTGTTTTTTTTGGGGGGGGGGGGGAGGAGTTAAGTATCTCAATTTGTATCTATGTTAGTTAACATTTTAAACCATTTGATTTTACGCATATCTATAAGTACTATCCATCAACCATCTAAATAATATGATACATATCGTTCGTATTTTATATTTTAAATGCACGTACCTATCTGTTCATTGCAATGATCAGATAAGTCGTTTAATGTATCAATAAAATAAATATGGGTTGTACTTACTAGTTAAAATTTAATGAAATCCTTGATGGTAATTATCTTAATTGACGTAAAATCGTATAATATTGTAGTATAATATTCGACTGCAAACGCGACACAACGGAGTTAATTAATTACCCGTAACTCGTGTTCGCAGGATATAGTTGTTACAAGGTATACATAAAATATAATAAGCGATACCAAATGGAAAGTAAGGTTGTGATACAAGTGGTCAAACAATGTACATAACGTAGTGTATAGGTGGTTGATAAAAAGCAGGTATGAGCTTGTAAATATAGTAATTTTTTATTTCATTCCTGCAGGCCCTGACTACACACCATGTATCTTTGATTACTACCTAATTGCCAGTAGCGGGCAGGGCTACTGTGTTACTGTGCATTTGCACAGTGGGCCGGTGTCATATTATATCCATCGGGCCGGTACAAAATAACCCAACGTGTACCTATTGTATTAAAAATGTTCTTATAAACAGATATAATATGTAAGCACTCTTTTAAGTTATAACATAAGTCGTGACTGATTATAGATACTATATCATCTTTTTAGCAAACGGTATTAATGTAATATAAACATTATATTAATAGACTGGCGAATTTATAAATTTATTGCAAATAATTTCTAATTTATATTTAGAATCCGCAAATAATTGCCCACTTCATTTACAAAAAAAGTTGTTCATCTTTTCCCAGTTAAAAAAACCTTTAGTACCTCCCTTTAGGAGAAAACATAATATCATTTACATATTATATGGCATGTCATATTACTGATCTTAAAACCTATTCTAGAGTTTATTTAGTTATACCAATAAGTAATTGTAGGTAATAATTTATAATAGGAAAAGTACGAAGTATAATTTTGTGTTAGTAAATATTCAATAAAGAAATGTTTAAATGTGTACTTGGGAACATGTTTCTTTTTTTTTCAACTCGCGAAATAATACGTTGTTATGAAAATTATTGTTGCAACATTCCAAAAATCGTTGCAATTTTTTTTTTTTTTGACACCCAGTCATAAAACACATTAATGTCAAAATATGATATAGCAAGAAATATCATGCAGTCCCCTTTTTGAGGTATAGAATTATAGACTTAATGTCATTACATGCTAAAACTTTTTTAATTAAATATAAATTAGTTATGAGAATTTGAAAATTAATATTTAATTTTTTTGCCTGACCTTTGACTTAGTCTTATCGATTCTAAAAATACGCTTATAATTTTTAAATATTTTCAGATTAGTATTCACAATTTGTAAATCATTTTCCAGCCAGTTATCAAATGTTAATATTGGGATTGTCAACTTAGAGTTTTACATAATATTTTCAAATTTTAGATAAAAAAAAGAAATATCTGTATATTATTGAAATTTTGTCGAATTTTATCAAAATTCCAAGTTAAAATGTTTATAAAAAAATGTTGTAACTACACATTACAAAAGGGTGTAATAATTTTAGGATTAAATAAAAATCCTACAAAATGAGAAACATTCAAATTATAAATTTTTATTAATATACTATTCGAAAGAATATGCAACATATCAGAAAATGGCCATAGAAAGGTCAAAATGATAGATATTGAAAAATAGTAAGCTTATGACTCGAAATGTAATTTTAGGAGATAGAAAAATGTAAAAATATGGAGTTAAAAAAAATATTGGCATTTATAACTTGTATAATTAAAATACGATACAGTACGAAAAGTTAAACAAAAATACAGAGACTAAATACTATAAATAATACTATAAATATCCTGTTAATCTTTTAACTTTTTATTAAATTAAAACATATCTCATTTTTTTGGGTTCCATTCATTTTGCATTATCGGAGTAGACACATCATAATTATTTATAAAGATGCCAAGAAAGAATAATCTCAACTATTTATAGATACCATTGGAGGACTAGTTAATAATGTAAAGTGAATATCATTAAAAGTTAACTTTAGCATACAATATATTTCTTACATAAAGTTGTTATTTTTATAAGTTTTGGGTTCTCAGCAGTGGTTTAAATGTTATTAGAAAAATAAGATATTTTAACCATGCATAAATGGCTTTCTAATAGCAGGAAAAAACGATCGTTTTAATTATTCTTCAACTTTATTTATTGACTATATTATAGTTATGTTTATTTTCTAAAATTTTGTTTTTTAAATAATATGCTAATGTGAAAAAATAATTGTCTGCAGGTAACTATGTAATATAATATTAAACGCATGTTTACATTTTTATACTTAAGGACACAATGAATATTCATAGATTAATAGACTAACCAAACTTTAATAGTAGATAAGTCATGACTTGGTTTAACAGTTTAAAATGATAATCATTTATATAAAAATGAACTAGTTAAAGATTATTAAAATATTAAAATAAAAATGTGATACCTAATAAATATACAGTTATAAAATATAAATATAATAAATATCGATTATTTTTTTTTTTTAGTTATATGCTTAATATTTTTACCTTATTGAATTAAACTAAAAATATCTTAATAATTGTATATCTATTTTAAGATAACTATTAATTTTTGTTTGGAAAATTTATGTTTTCTCCGAATTTTCTTTGTACCGTTAAACTTAGAGTTTTAAATTAATGTAGGAATCGATAGGTTGTATTAAAACTATCTATACTCGGGTAATTTATTTAATATAAAAAAATGTTTAGTGAAACGATGAAATCCTATCGAGTAATATTAAAATTAGCAATTTATAATATGATATATTGATATAAAATATCATACATAGGTATTTTAACATTTTCATTAAAATCATAAACGTTTTTGATATATATGACTGCAAATAATCAAAAATAATATAGTTATTCTTGATTTTTTTTAGAGTTTGAATTATTAATTGGAAAATCAGTAATTCACGTGTCTAAATCAGGTTGTGATGCAGTTTCTTTTAATGGAATTTAAGACTTGTAAAAGTCGGGTAATTGAAAATCGGCCCAGCTTAAAAATTTATCGTTCGGTTATTATTTATTTGAAACTCTTCCAAAATTTAAAGGTAAATTGTATAATATGTCATTGTATTATAGTAAACATAGAAAATAATTTACATTTGTTATTTTAAGTATACATTTTATCAATTTAATTAACTCGAAATATATGTATAATATAACTATAGTTGCAGTATACAGATAGAGTAATAGCATTTTAAAGTAGACAATGACAATGTGCAACTCTACAACTATATGTCTGATTCTTGGCCATTAAACGATTGTTTGATGAATTGCGATGTAATCCGTGCCATCCTGACCGCAGCCAATGTTGTATCGGCGGCGTCCAACGCAATGTTCACCACTGCCTCGAACATGGTCAAATTAGTGGACGTCATTGCCAAATCGGTTGCCATATTGGCCACCTCTATGGCACTTGATGATGACCTAAGTGCAGTGTTCGTGAAATTCATTACTTTTGCAACTTCTACTGACTTGGCTGGTACGTCCGAGTAGCTTAATGCAGATGCCAATGAATTGTGCGCACACATTCCATCCCTGATGCCCCTTTTCAATATAATTTCAAAAACCTCATTGTCCTGGATCAAATCTACGGGACACGTCTTCCATATTTCCATTAATCGCTCACTACTAGATAACGTTGACGAACAACTTGAATCGCTAGACGTTGACGATGAAGAAGACATGATAACAACGTCTGGAATTTATTTTAAAACGCATGATTGTTACTATTAATTTCAGCATTCAGTTATTATCAGTAATAGATATTCATTATTGATAATGTATAATTCAGATAAGCAAAAGCAACATTTAGCATCCTGATTTTGTATGTTATATATTTTAGGCTTAAACATGAAACCAAAAATTGAGTTGGGGGTTATAGATTCGTCTCCTAAGCATATCTCCTATTAATACCATGAAATAATTTGAATTTCACATTTGTAGCGCGTATGTGCATAATATTTTCGAAATTTGAACGTCATTCACACACTTAATCAAAAAGTAGTAACTTAAGCAATGGTTATATGATGTTTAATAATAAATAAATCGATAATTAGCTTAGAAATCACTAACAAATTACATTGATTGAATTTACAACTCTATGAATAAAAAATATTCAGCTATTACTTTTAATTACTGCTATCTATCGGAATGTAGAGTTAAACTATCTCATTGCTGGAATTTCTAACTGACGATAATACACATATTATTTGGGGGTTACCAATTTGTACCAAGAAAAATTAATTTTTTTTGGGTACAGCCCATTTACGTCAAATTTATCTTTTACATTTACAAATTGGTTAATTCGTATACCTATTTAAAAAACATCGTGTCTGTAACGTATGATACAGTTATTTTTATAAGTCTATAGATTTTAAAGCTTTGTATATTTATGCATAGAAAGATATAAAAAAGTTTTATGTCAGTTTTATTATGTCGCACCTACGATGTAGATATTCCGTTATCGGGTATAGGTATCGTCATTCTTTAAAAGAACGATCGCAATATGATTTTATCAGACATTTGTTTTGTTGCACTACATGTCTAAATAATATTATTGTCTGGATAAATATAATTACGTTATATTAAATAATATTTGATTATTTGAATTATAAATTATAAGAATAGAGTTCATAACAAGCACAAGAGGAAAAAATGGTTGTAGAAAATGGCCATAAGTATATTTTAGCATATTATACATCTTCTAAAAATGTTAAACGATAGCGTTGTTAAAATAAAATATGCTCAGCAAAAATATAAATTCAAGATGGAAATATTATTAAAAAAACGAGGTATATTGCAAACATTTATTTATATATTAATAAAATGTGTAAATTGTAATTATAAAATTACCTATAATTTACCTAATATATAATCAATAAATTTACAACTAAATATGCAAGACAAAATATGAATGTAGCATGCAAGCATATGGCTGTTGAAGACATAAAAGTATTCGTCCTAGGAAAATTATTTTAACTGAAATGAATACTATATAACTAATTTAGATTGTATTATATCTGATGTATCTGCTGTACGAAAAAGTATTTACCGTGCTCGTAAAAAATATTTTTCTTCAAATCCTAAATCTGTGTCTGATGTTTATGAAGCATTAAAATATATACATTTCACTAGCTCTAAAAACGAAGATTTTCTATTAATTAATAATAGAATCATCTAATATAATTATATTTACTTGCTACAAAACTTTAAAATTTTTATGTAAATCAGAAACAATTTATATATACTGAACTTTTTCGTACTGTTCAAAATATTTTACTCAATTATTTGTAATTCATAGATTTATCAACGAATATTATATACCTTTATTATTTTGTATTTTAAATAATAAATTGACAGAAACATATAAACTTGCTTTATCATGTGTCAAAAATAGGGCAATGTAAAATTTCAATTTAATGTTTAAATCAAAATATGTCTCTGTTGATTTTGAATTAGCTATACATCTGACTGTGAAATCAGTATGGCCATTATCCGAAATTATAGGCTGTCTTTTTTACTTGACTTAATAAAAAAAATTCAAAAATTAGGGTTAACTTCAGTTTACAAGGATAACAAGTGGTTAAAATTTACATTTAGCTTAACTTTTCTAGATCCAAATAAAGTTGTGTTTAATATTTTATGTATGCAATTGCTGGTGATCCAAAATACCAAGAGTGTGCAGCTGATTTAACTAGAACCACCTATAACTGAGAATCTTTCCATTCTCACTTTAATGAATAATTTTTTTAAATCACATCATAACATTTTTAAATTTTTAGAATTTTTTATTAAAACAGTTCAAACAGATGTTTATATTAAAATCAATAAGATTATTAAAAATTTATACGACCCTCCAAAAAATGCACAAGTTAAACAAGATTAAAAAAAGACTTTAAAATCATAAAAAAAAAAAAATACAAACACGTTTTTATGAATGTATAAAAATAATTGCATTTAAATGCATTTAATTACAATAAATATTAGGATGTTTATAATATGTTATGTATGATATTTATAATATATTTATTTATATTTTATTATAATTTATTTATTATGATTGATTAAATTATGTATTGTTGATAATATTATTTGAGAAAAAATTATATTACTTTATTATAATTATACCAGGTAAATTTGACGCAAATAAACTGTCAGAAAAAATATACTTTTGTTATTTTGTTGCAAGTGGGCGATGCCCTATTATTTTATATTAATAAAAACTAGGTTTCTAAACGCATGACACAATTATTTAAGTATGCAAATTCATATTTTTATTCTTAATAATTATCCCTATCAGTACGCGGGTAGATAAGTAAAATAACCAGATTGAGCTCTGTTATAATCAGCCGAACTTTTTGACGACCCGATTAAGCACGAAAAAATAAATAAATTATGTATACAATGTAGTCAGATTTTCACTAGAACGCATGATTTTTAGATCACTAATAAATAATTAATATATTAGTCAAAAAACACCTACGAAAGTAGAAAATAACTAAACATTTAAAAAATTAGACCCTAATGGGCTTATTAGGAGTACTCTGAATTTAAAAATGCTGAAAACCAGGGAGTCAAAACGGTTTTGAACCCGGGTTGTAAAACCGGTAACCCGGAAAATTGTTTACACGGTTTCATACCCAAAACCTGTAACCCGGAAAAATTTTTGCCAGGTTTTTAACACAAAATCCGTAACCCGCTAAAAATGTTCCCCGGTTTCAAACCCGAAACCCGTATCCTGAGACCCGAATAAGATTTTGCATAGTTTTAAAATTTGAACACGTAACCGAAATTTGAAGAAATTAGAAATAAAGATATTATTGACTATTGTTACATGATTAAGTATAAATAACTAATAAGTGAAATAAAATGATTAATGCGAAATTAACTAATGATTAATGAGAAATTAACTACTAATGGCTAATAACTAATAAGTAATAAGTTAATTATAAAATAAACTATAAAAAAACTTCGATATGGCATATTCGTTTCAATGTTTCTAATACATTACTTTAACTATAATTATTAATGAACTTATTTTGCTAAAACTGTGAAAAAATGAAAAATATTATTCATTATTAATGATTTTAATTTTGGCCTTGTTACAAAAACTTAACTGATTTTTATACCCGAAACCAAAAACCCGCAAAAAACTTTTACACGGTGTTGATCCTAAACCCAAAACTCGCAAAAAAATTTACTCGGTGTTGATCCCGAAACCCGCTAAAAATGTTCACCGATTTCAAACTCGAAACCCATAACCCAAAATATCTTAACCCGTTTTGACTCCCTGCTGAAAACCTACTTAATTACTTATTGAACGTTAAAAATAAGTAATTGGGGAAAGAAATTTAAATTTTTATTTTTTTTATATATGAGAGGTATACTTAATTAACCGACATAGCAAATTCTGTCTTAATGTGATAAAAACCTTATTCGTAAATATTTATGTTCAATAATGTATTTTGTTTAATATTTTATGGTACAAAGTGGCAACGTTACATCATTTTCGTGCTCAATCGTGTGTTTTTGGGTCCCTATTGCTTAATTACAACTGTACTCAATGCGATAGTGAAGAAAATGGTTAATCGTGCTCAATCGGGTTCTAATCGTATTAGATACACATGGGTTAGGTTAGGTACCTACTACCTACCTATTCACATAATACGTATACTAGCTAAAATTTTAGATATACCTACCATGTCAATTGATTGTAAATAATTTACCGCACAAAAATTGGCCACAAATATGAAATAATTGATCACAATGACAATTTACCACTCGACAATTGATCTCAAATTAAATGTTTTCTGTTTAATTCACAAATTTAAATTTAAATTTTATAAAAATAAAATAAAAATACGTTTAGATAGGTATATAATTATAAAAAACTAATAGTTAAACTTGCAATTAAAATTTTTATGCAATGAACAATGAATATTTGTATTATTACTATAATTAATATATGATTATTTTTTTTTATTTTAGCTGCTATACCTTAGCAAATTTTTTTCCTCAGAGACTTCATACATTCTATTTAACTTTAAATCTGTTTATGTTTCTTTTATTTTCAAATTTATTTTTAAAATGCAAAATTGGAAGGTTCATACTATATTACAAGTGATGTGAAACAATTATTCCACCCTTTTATGGCATTATTTGTGGCAAATAAATCTTAGATAACTATTGAAAAACAGTACCGAATTTCGATTATATAGGTATTTAGGGGGTTTTATTTTTCCTCTCATAATATCTACCTATGTATTTTATATGTGTGATCTAAATGTAAAACTTTATGCTGGAAAATAATATTGTTTTTTTGATAAATTATTTGCGTCAATTATTTACGATCAATTGATGAGATATTGTAATAACTTACATCTTATTGAATAATTTATTTATTAGTAAGTATAAATAAGTAGGTAACGATCTATTATTTATTGTTCGCCATATTGTTTTACACGTATCGGTATAATATTGCGTGTTTTCTGTCAGCGTATAAAATAAATATAGGTAATACTTACACGTTACAATTCAAAATCCGTGATAATTATTCTTTTCCTATGAAAATCGCAATAGTATAGTATAATATCCGACAGCAAACGGCAATATGAAATAAAATAACAATCAGCAACTCGTTTGCAGCATATTCGACTGCAATCTGGTTTATACACGACTATATTATGAGGTTCCTATATAATTGTCAATGCACAATTACATTAAAGACCGACCGTGAAGCCGTGACCCGTCGTGACTAGACAATGGTCCGATTGGTCAGAATGTTTAGGTGGGACTAGGTACCTTCAGGCCACCAGGGTTGTAAAATTGCCGTATTTTTTGTATCAATTATGTTAGTTATGTTGACCAACAGTACATCGTGTGCAAATAGTTATCCCTACCAATTTCTTAATCCTACCTAGTTTCCATGCGGCAAATGATAATGTAATTTATCATTTTAGCAAGCGGTTCATAATGATATAATCATCAGTGTGTATAACGTACCATATAATATGTGATGTGAAATTAAATGTTTAATTTGAACATAGATAGAAATGCATGCAGTTTTTTCGCATTAGTGCAAAAATTTAGTTTATACTATTTTGGTACAACCATGTAAACCACATGTTGTTTTTCTTAAAAATACACGTTATGTTATACATAAAGTCTTCCAAATTTTATGTGACTGTATATTTCGATACGACATTTATAGATTAGAAAAAACGGCCTTAAGGAAATAGAATTATTATATTAAAAAAACATATACACATATAAATATAAATTTTTTATTAATTTGTTATGTAATTTACGTATATTGTAATTATTAAAATATAGCCTATCTCTAGTAAACTGTATCAATAAAAATGTATACCAAATGGAAGAATATAGAGGATTTTATTAATATGAATAATATTAGACAAGACACTTAGTTATACTAAGTATAACTATTAACTAACAATTTTGTTAATAAAATATTTATAATATAATACAACATATCAGTTGTAAACTTTTAAATGTATCGCGAAAAAATTTTACTGGTAAAATAAATTAACTAAAACAATTTTACATGAAAATTTTTTTTACTATTCTAAAAATCGAGTAATTCCTTAATTTGTGATTTTATATTTTTTTGTCAATAGATAATGTTTATAATACAAATTGAGATTTTTTATAAAATTATAATGATCTATAGACGAAATTATTAATTAAATATTATGATCATGATCAAGGATTATTAATTTTATTTAATATTATGGTAACAAAAATCTTTGATCAAAGACTATTGTTTTATTTTATACTTGTCTTAACTTCTTTACATAATATTGCGACAATAATTGTTACAAAATTGAATGGGTTTAAGTACTATAAAGCATGAATTAACCTTTAATAGAAATTTATCAATTTTACTGGTATAATTGTTCGGTAAATATTTTAACATTATAAATAACTAATGTAGGTAATAAACTTTATTAGTTAATAATTGATTACAAAATATAATATTTTAATAACGTCTTCCGCGCTCGGTAAAATTAATATTTTACACCTGAAAACCTAAAAAAAATAAAGAATTTAAATATTATTTTACATTGTGTCATTGTGATAATTCATTCATTATGATCAGTTGGTCGACCACTTTGCATATATCTGGGAGAACATCATCAAATTCACTTGACTACTTGAGTGTATAACTACCGACTTTTCTGTAAAATTTTAAAACTAGGTATTATGACAAAAGCTAGTCTAGTTTCACGCTATTGTAATTATTTAAATAATCATATTACGTATTTGTTTCTTAATTTTGTTATTATAATCATTAAAATATCAGAAATATGTATCATCTTCATTAGAATTATTTAACATATTGTTTAAGTTTAATTTCTAAAGAACTTTTATAAAATGAACGTTCTCTCCTAACTCGAATTCACTTAAAACTAAAATGTTATCGAACTTTTATGCGGAGTAAATACATAAATTACTTACAAATTACACAAAAATCGCTCACGCTGCTCATAAAGATTCTCATTACAAAATAGTTTTACCGTGTGCGGAGGGTCTAAGAAATTACATAATAGCAAAATGCAGCATTGCTCATTTTATACATACTCGTAAAAACATATATTTCGAGCGGCGAAAGCTTGATGTGTAACGTATTCTCTAATTACCGTGTATCATATTTTTTATAAAGGGCAAATGCAATTTAATACAATTTAATACAATTTGCACAAACATTTTAAGGTTTCAATTAATTAGCAACCGGCCAGTTTTTGGAGTTTCTTGGCTACAGGTATCAAGTTATACAAGTGCTGTGCCCGGCTCTTGTCCGTCGGATGCGTTTGCATCCACCAGAACTGCTTAGGCGGCCCGTTTAAAACAGATATGGATTCCCAGAACTGGTAGCCCTGGGTGACGTCCACGCACGCGTTCGCGGCTAGCTCGAAGCCAACGCGGTCGGCCTCAGTCTCATGGGATCTCTGCTTTGTCAGCTTGACGCCCACGTGTAAAACGAATTGGCACATCATGACCGCCAATAGCGCCTGACTTAACGGCAATGTGGTCGAAAGGACTGCGGCTATCGGTAACAAGCACAACACGCGAACCGCCAAAATGACGCTGTTATAATTGTTCATGTGTCGGAGCATGCAGTGCGCCAGCTCATGTCCGATTATTATGGAAAGCTGATCATCGTTGACCATGGTCGCCAGCCCGGTAGATACGAAAACGAACCCATTGGGCATGACGAATGCGTTGAGCTTAGGGTTGTCCAACACCACCAAACTCCACTTACGTTTTCGGATTTCGCTAACATTTGAGTTGGCTTCCAACAGCCGGGACGTCACACCGGCCACGCGCTTGTAAATGGAATGTTCTGTGCTCAGAAGACAGCATTTGTCCATTGAGCTCAGAATAATAGACACTTCTTGATCGGCGATTTCGTCGATTATCTGATCGCTGATAATGAACAGACGCCAGAGGTGCGTCCATGGATCCAACTCCATGCAATGAGACAAAAATATGCCAATTAAACCTAGCCCGGTGGCTGCCGTCATGCCAATTGCTTGGCGGTACGCCCGAGCTGCGTCTGCAAACCTCCGTTTCGTGTCAGTCGTCTGCGCCAACCACCAACGCCGTGCAGTCATACCGCCTATCATAGTCAGTAACAACGAAAACTCACGCCTACTCGTTTGACTGTAAAATTATATTGCAATAATATTTATGATTGTAATGGATATATTATTATTGTAATGACATAAAACTATGTATTAACTTTCGTGAAATATTTCATTTGTAAGGAGAAAAACTTATGATTGTGACTCATGTCTCGTACTACATTTGATAGGTAATGTGTTTGGCCACTATATCGAGTTAAAATAGTATTTGGCGTGATGTGAAATCTCATGAAAAATTATAATATAATAATGTTTGAAGTATAACTAACGCTGTAATGCCAGTAGAAGAATCTTTCATAATTATCTGTATCTCAAATCGTTATCTGACAGTAACTCTCATTGTACGGTCTCACCACAAGTACCATATTGTATAATAGTTAATATTATTAATCAAACTATCCTTTTAATTTAAATAGATTACCAAATATGATTTTTCAACTGAACGGGTTGTTTGGATATTTTTAGCATTAGATTCGGTGTCTTACATACCAAACCACTCTTACAACTAAAAGATGACATAGAGTATCTTGCTGTTGGAATTGATAAAAACGAAACATTTTTCAAAAAAAATTTAGAAAACATTATATAAATATATTCAGATTATTTTAAATCGTTAAAAAAACATTGATGGCAAACGTGATGCTGTATAAACACTATACGTATCGTAGGAAACGTATTTTTTCGAATATTTAGAGAAAAAATGTAATGTCTATATAAGTTGTACCTATCTTTACTCTTTAGCTCAATTTAAATAATAATTGCTTATGTTTCATTTTATTAGTATTTTTTTTAATTCATAAATTTCGTATTTCATAAATTAATCAATAAATCAGTGATAGTTAATAGGTAATTTTAAATACCCAAGTGATGCATTCGTCATATTGCGTAAGTAATATAAAGCCAGTAGTATGTTTAGTAATGTCTGCTTTATTTCTGAAGAGACAGAGGTTATTTTGCATTTATAGGTATGATAGTCAAACTTTGACTCAATGTTTCTTTAATTGAATCATTTGTTGTATTCTAAAATATGAAATTGAAATATAAGCATAAAACTTGATCTTATAATTAAAAATATTTTAGTATTTAATAATAGCCACACCATTTATAAACTAACACTGAAACAGTCGAAACAGAGATAAATATTTAATTGTTATTATAATACAGATGCTCAGAGTAGCACAAATACATGAATTAAAAATGCATAAAACACAACTGTAAAATTAAAATTTTTTATTTATTATTTAATTTATGCCATTTATATATTTATTTTGTAAAACTGTTAGAATATACCTAAAAATGGAAAATTTATTTATATAATATTGTTAATAAAACAATAAGTACACTAAATATTAATATAATTTTTTTATTTAATTATCATAAGTCAATCATGTTCTTCTGTAATAAGACTTTTATTTATCAAATAAGTAGGTACATAAGAAGACAGAAGTTTTCATTGATGAAAAATTCAAATCTGGATACTTCTATATGGTAAATTAATTATCATATTCATTAACTGATATTGTAGTGACTTGATCAACAAGTTCTATCTCCATAGAATTCTAACTTGACAATAATTTACAAATCGATCTCAAGAAAATATGTGTTACCTACTGTTAAATAATATTATCGTTTAATTTTTAATTTAAAATATTAACATACCCAGATTAAAAAAAAATTTTTATTTACTTTAATACTAGCTTGATATTGAATTAGATTTCAAGCATCTTCAAAATATATTTAATTATTTTTATTATGTTTCTTCAAAATGAAAATAACAAAGCTAGTCTTTGATTTTGATTAATATTCTCTTCACAAATGCCACATGCTGTTAGCCACAATTTTTGATATTCATGTATATTTTTAAAAATTGTATCATCCTTTTTTTTTTCAAAATTATAAAAATTATTTTTCATTTGTTAAAATCAAATTTTACCAATTTTTTTAAGTAAAAAAATAATTTTTATATAAAGTGTATATTATACAATTTATTTAATTTAGAATTACAAGTTAAATAGTTATACTTGCATATTATTGTACACATACAGTACGTGAAGCCCGATATGGGCCAGTATATGGATATATTAAAAAAAATGGTTGGAATAGTTCAACAGTAATGAATATCTAAGCGAATTTATTTTTAACATTGAATAATGATTTAATTTTAAATTGATAAATTTTCTGAGGAAAAAAGTAGAAGTAAAAATATTTTAAGTATAATTAAATTTGTAAATTGCATAAAAAGATATTACGTACAGTTTAATCTTCATAAATAATGTATCTTTTTTGTACTTATTTAAGATAATTGCATATTTCAATATCTTTTATAAATAATTTTTATAGAATAAAAAGGAAGGTAAAAGTGTAGATTTAGATATATAGTTAAAAAAAACCTAAATACACCACTAGATCGAACACAATCTTAGAAGACAGTGGTCCCAAATATTTTGATAGTAGTTCCATTGTATCTTATGATTTAAGATCTAAAGGTGAAGGTGATGTTTTGCGCATTCACATAGACAGAAATGGTGTCGAAGCCTCGGATAAATCTTGTTATGCTTCTTTGAACATTAGATTATTAGAACATTGAACAACGACTGAGTTCAATGAACAAGAATGGACACAGTGTACCTAACTGTATAAGTAAAAAAGTACAATCAAAGCATTTTTCTAATGAAATAATTTATTGCACAGAACACAAACAATTTCCCAAAACAAGTAAGATATAATATTTAGCAACCTTTATTAACAAATATAGATTATTAAGAGTAGGAAGAAGACTCAGACATGCAAAGATTTTTATAGACAAGAAACATTTCATTTTACTTTTTGAAATAATTATGTCATGTCACAAAGTTATTTGCCACTTTTTTTTCATATTTACCCATTAAACATTACTGTCAATAATGAAATAAAGATATTGGCCATTAAGTGGGAGAAGTTGTGTAAGAAAAATTGTGCAATTGTCTGTAACTTGTTTTAAGACAAAACCAACATCTCATTGATCGTCAATGTGACAATGTGTAAAGTACCTAATGCTTAAGTAACTTCTTCAAATCTATTCAATTGAACAACCTAGATACCCATGTTAGTGTGGTATAGTACACACGCCAACGTCGCCAACCTCTCAATTGAAAATCTTTAAAAGTTATAATATTGCAGTCTTTGTTTGTAAGGCAATTAAAGCAATGCATTTGGAACTAGTAAGTGACTTGAAAATTTTTCTTGCTGCACTTTTCAATGGTTTATAGTCAGAAGGAGATTAAATAAAAAAATTTAAAGCGACAATGGTACTAACTGTGGGCACTGTTAAAACACTCAATAAAATGCTTAAGTTTTACAAGACCATGTCAAAATATCAGATCCTATACAATGATATTTTATATTAACTACTATGGGTTATCTCTAAGAAGTCAGAGTAAAATCTAACAAGTACCACCTTTGCTGGATTATAAGAAATTAATGTCTGACATGTGAAAAAGTCTGAATGCTCTCGAGTCAAATAGTAGTAAGATTAGATAATTTTTATAATTTATTGAGTTATACAACAATTAGTTAGTTATCAGTTGGAATCCTTCTAAACGATTTCATAGTTAAAACTTGGTATACTGTACTTTTTAATAAATATATTATAGTCTGTGATTCTGAAGAAAAAAAGTTACACAACATTCTAAAATCGCCATGAAATTTACTTATACATTTCGCAGAAATTATTTTAAGCACACGGCAATGTTTGATATATTATGGCTTCAAATATAGAATCGGCATCGTTTCTCAAATCACTCATTAAAACTCTAGAGAAACCTCTAAAAATGATAGATGTACCATTTTAAATACATTTTCCATCTAGCTAAGAATACTAAAAAAGTATTTCAACTATACATTTCAATAGAAAAATTGTCATTTAGTTGGCAAATAGTGTATCTAAAAGCAGTCTTTGGGCAATTGATCATTGAGCTAATTGGCTTATTTGATGATACACAGGAAAATTGTTCCCTTCTAAGCAAAATTATTTGCTGGCTTTAATACCTTAGGCCTTGATAACTTCTAACTGGTAGCAATAATAATAATTTTTTGATCATTTTCAAAAATTGGATGGTGTTGATCTTTGAGTAATATTTAATCAATACACAATATTCAGGGTTCTCTTTTTTCATATTTAAACTTCTCTGCTAGTTCATTTGAACAATCTTATCTTTTGTTCTTTTTGTAATATTCTTTTTAATGTACTTAATCATTGTTTTGATTTTTTTATTCCAGCTTTCATTTTTACGCTTTTATTTAAAAATACTGCTATCCCAGGATATATATTATTTTAACATTATAAAACTAATATTGTCAGTAGTAAAGTCATTTTAATTTACTAGGCTAAGGTTTACAATGCTTAATTAACTAAAATTAAAATAAAGATAATAAATATCATGAATTCGTGACATTAAAAATAATAAAATTTGGATCATCATTATTTATAGAAGAGGGATTTTTATGCAATGTAATTAATTTTGTTTTAAAATGCAAATTTAAAAGTGGAAAATGTATTTTAGCTGAGAATAGTGATTGTTTAAATTTTGCAGTTTTTTACATCCATGTGTACCATGCATGGTACTGTAATATTGCCAAGTAATGCATACCATTTATTATTATGATTGTACATTACGCTAAAGCACAGAATTTTACTATTACATCATTAATGAAAATGCTGATTTAACAGTTGAAAATTATAAATTTGTTTTGCTATTTTCATTAAAATATAGGAGATCATACAAATATTTCTTACGAGAAAATCACATTTATGTGTATCCATTATGATGCATACTATTGCTAATGCTAATGTCTGAAGTGTACATTAAATGGTACATTTAGCATGATAAAAATGTTCAGCTGTGAATTATAATTGGTACACTTAGCAACATGTCATAAGCATTAAAATATGCCGTGGCAGTTAACCTATTAAACTTTTTGTACATTTCTCAATACATTAAAATCTCAGCCTTGATTATTAATATTAATTAATAAAATTTTAAAAATATTCTGATGGTTAAATACTATTTATTTTTAATACAAAAGCAAAATTAATCAAGAATAGTTTTTAATGTTGATCATGAATAATATTAATTTTGTACTTATAGCAAATTTTTTATCTTTTATATTGCTGTTTAATTAAAATTTAAAAACAATTAATAGATTAAATTAATTATAAACACGTTTAGTAACATGGATATAAGCCATTTATAAATTAATTAATTTAATTTGAAAAATTTTAATTGAACAAACTAAATTATAGAAATACAAGAATTAAAAAAAAAAAATAAATAGATAAGAATATATAAAAAATGTACATTAATATAATTTATATAATTTTTGCCAATTTAAAAAATTAATCATTGCCAGTGAATGTAACCAGTGAGTAGCCAGTGAGTAGCTAACTAGACATAAAGAATACGGTATCCATAAGAAATATTCATATGCTAATCATGATGGCAGAATATGGTCTCCAAACAGTCGAGTACTGTGATCAATAAACTTCACCAAATTGTGTCTCAAGTAGATTAGAAGATGATAGAACATACGTTACATACATTTTTTTTATTTCCAGTTATGGCTCTTAGTTCCTTAACTGAAATAGGTACTTTTAGTAACGGTTCTTTACATCGTAGACATTCAGCTGACATATTGCTCATGTGCAATTTAATATGACGCGTTAATTGAGTTTTATGAAAAAACAATTTATAACAAATAAAACATTGATAAACTTCATCCGTGTGATATTTTCTTTCATGATTTATACGTGCTAATTTTGAAGGAAAAAATTGATTACAAATATTACATTTCCGTAATGCCTTTTCAATCTTATTATGTGTCTTTTCGTGCTTTTTCATGTCTGTTTTTAATAGAAATGAAATACCACAAATACTACATTTATATGAATTATTTTCAGAGTGAATTTTCATGTGACACATGAAAGTAGATTTTTGTACAAATTTTGTTTTACAAAATCTACAATTAAAATTTGATTTGAAGGCAGGATGTTCTTTAATGTGTTTAATCAAATTTGATTTTTGTGTAAAAAAAACTCCACATATATCGCATTTATATTTATCTTCAACACTGTGAGTTCTCATATGTGAGTGTAAAACATCTTTTTGTGTAAATCTATTGTTACAAACAGGACATTTATAAGGTTTTGTACCAGTATGTAATCTCATATGATCAATTAACTTATTTTTTTGAAAAAATGTTGCATTACATATATCACATCTATACAATTTATGATCTCTGTGAGTTTTTAAGTGGTAAGAGTAACTTTTCTTTTGTGCGTATGTCACTAAACAATGAGGACACTGATATGGTCTATCTCCAGCATGAGATCTCATATGCATATCTAAAAGTGATTGTAGTGTAAAACTTGAATCGCAAAGTTGACATTGAAATGGTTCATCAATAGTGTGAGATTTTTCATGACTTTCTAGTTCTGATGCTGTAGGAAATTTTGATCTGCAGAGATGGCATTCATAAGGTCTTTCTGTCATATGAACTTTTATGTGAGCAAGTAAACTAAATTTCCGATAAAAGGACTTTTTACACATTTCACATTCAAACATCTTTTCCCCTGCATGGGTCAATAAATGTCTTTTTAAACTTGATTTGTGAGAATACTTTTTCTCGCAAATATGGCATTCTTCTAATTGTACAGTATTATGGACTCGCATATGATTCTTCAAAAAAGTTTTTCGATAAAAAGTTTCATCACAATCATGACATTTAAAAAGTTTTTCTCCTGTATGACTGTGTTTTTGGTGAAAAACTAAACTCGATTTTCGTGAAAATTCTATAGCACAAATTTCACATTTAAATGGTTTAACACCAGTGTGCGTCCATTCATGGTAATTTAATAATGACTTGTGACCAAATGTCATTTTACAAATGCGACACGTATGAGGTTTATACCCAGTATGTGTTCTCATATGACACATTAAATTTTGTTTTTGAGCAAAAGGTCTTTGACATAGATTGCATATGTATGGTTTTACTCCAGTATGTGTCCTTATATGTACCGTTAAATTTGATTTAACAGTAAAAACCTTATTGCAGTAATCACAGTTAAAAGTCATTTTCTGGTCAGGTGTTTTATTATGGCTTTTTAAGTTTGATTCTTCATTAAATTTTTGAGAATTTTTAGATTTGTAATACATGTTAAGAATTTTCTTAGGAATTTTCTGGTGTTTATTTAAATCTCTTCTTGTTGAAAATGATTCTTTACAGAGTTGACATTTGTAAGATTTTTTTTCTTCAGACTCGCTATCATTTAACATTAACTGCAAATTTACAGGTTCAATTTCAATAATGCTACTATATACCATATTATCAATGCAGTCAACTTCATATTTTACATCATTACAGATAGCAGAGTCATCATTTTCTTTAGAATTAAATGAACTAAAACAAAAAATATAAGTATTTATTACATAGTTGTTATAAAATAGATCAATAAATTTAGATAAGTCTGAAGACTATCAAACAATGCAATAACTACACAACATTCTATCAACATTGATAAATATTTAACAAGAATATTATGAAAAATTAAAGCAGTAAATTTTATTATTATTTGGAATGAAACAATCTTATGTAGGGATTTATTTATGTGATTTCTTTAATATTTTTCAAAGAAAAAATTTTATATTTCGAATTCTTAAATTTACAAATGTTTATATCACATTTAATGATTCAATTACATATTTAACTACTATAATTATTATCAAAAATGTATTAGGTTTTGAAACTATTATATATATAATAAATATTTTATTCTAAAAATAGCAGAAAATTTATAAAATTTTGAATTTTACAATGAGATGCCTATTTTTTAGTCATGTATACATCAAATTTTTAAGTATCTTCAGGAATTGCACCATACAATTCATGTAACATAGTATAACACAAATTTAACACTGAGGTAATATTTAGAATTTTAGAAATCTAATGGTTATAGAAAAATAGTAAGATTAACCAGCTATAATAATAAATCAGTTTAATCCATAAGATGATAAAGTAACTAAAATTTTCACTTAAAATGTCTGATGTATTTATCATATAACATTTAAAAAATGTTTAAGCATTTCTTTACTAAATATAATATTTTAAATACTTACAATTTTAAATGCTCACAGATACGAAAATGTTGTAAAGTCAAAAAATATATGTATACAACACAGTGGCTTATCAAAGAGAAAGGCTGAAAGGACTATAACCCCTCCCCAATATTTTAAAAAATCTTAAGTTTCTATTTGATCAATTAAAAATTAAAAGATACATAGGTACTAAACGAGGTACGTCCTTAATCTGCAGCAACAGTGAGTATTAATTATAAAACGTTTACAACATCATTCACATAAGACTAACTTAATTCTTAATTCACATGTAATAGATGTACAAATTTACCGGAGAAAAAGCGTTTGTAGTCTTAATATTTTTTCATAGGTAATTTAATATCTATGTAAACATTTTTCTTTCATTTTGCATTTTTCCTTATGAATAACTAACATGGGAGGAAGGGAAACTATGTTAATCCTCTATCAAGTTTTTTTATTTGTAAGTGATCAATGATTTATTAGGTATTAACACTATAATAATAACAAAATATGAAATATTTTGTTTTAAATATCAACTTACTTTGAGAGAATAAATCCTTCCTCATTATTTGCATGAACATTTTGTTGTTCTATTTGCTGAATAGGTTTAATCATTACATCATTGTTTTCCTGTTTGATATTTTTGCTAAAAAATATAATTTAAATGACACAGTTTATTTTAAATTCTGATCCAATCAAATAATGTATGATTTTATAATAAAATTTATATTTATTTGTATTTTTAATTTTTTTTAAGATGCTTTCAAGGACTGCACCAAAACATTCATATAGAATAATAAAATAATCTCTACTATTCATAAATGACATTTGCTTTTTGTTTTGTTACTCTTTTACTTAAATACCAATAAATGGATTTGAATTAGGTTTTTTCTAATGAAATAATAGTCTTCCAGCAAAATTTTAGGCATGATTTTATTTTACCTAACTTCTATTCTTAAAAAATTGAATAAAAATTAAAAGGAATAACCATGATGTCAGATCTGATTTTTAAACTATATTTAAAAATAAATTCTATGGAACCACTCACTTGACCGTATTGAAAATCTGTATTATTTATATCTGTTAATATTTTTTCCTAGGTAGAGATATACTTATTAAACTAATTTGCTCAAGAAGTTATTACATTTAAATCAAAAATATCATAGATAGATACAGTAAGACCTGTCTTATACGGACCCTTGTTGAGACGGAATCCTATTCTGTGCGGAAATTTATTATAATCCTGGCAGATATCTATAATTTAACATAGGATTAAACCTTTGATAAAACGGAACCTGTCTAACGTAAAATAGAAAGCTTTTTTAGTCTCATAAATCATAATATACACCTTTGACAAACGGAAAAACATATCATAAACTGAATAAAAATATTTTTGATACCCACATTTATTTTGTTATTAAACAATTATTAAGGTCAGCAATATTAATATGTGTCGATAGATAACTTCATTTTATCTTGAATCTATATCATTAGTGTTCATTATTGTCACACCGTATAGTCGTAGTTTTCCTGTCTTTCGTCTCGTCTTGTTCTCACAATGTCTTTAAAGATTTGTTTGAGTTTAAATGAAAAAATGAAAGTTATAGAAGAAAGTTGTTAATTGTTAAAGAAAAAACTAAACAAAACTTTACACGAATTTCGGAATTTTTAATTGTATTTTAATCTGCTTACTTTATTTTAATATAATATTATTTGATTAATACCTACTAAATATTATGTTTTACAAATTTTGGAATTGAAATTTATCATTATTTTGAAAAATCTAATCAATACATATTATATAATTATTTACTAAAAATTAAAATTAATCGTATATAGCCTATGATATTTATTAATTTTCAACATATTAATTCTTATTATTAGCCGGAAAATGTTATAACCTTAAATCTTAATTTAATCATGCAGAATATTGTAACTCTGTAGTATGGAATTTTTCTTTTTATTCAGTTACATGGAAACCTGTTTAAAACGGAAATTTTTATTGGTTCCGTGTAATTCCGCTCAGAACAGATTTTACTGTAATACATCTCGGTCAAAGTTATTCAAAAAGTGAGGTAGAACTACACCTATTATTTAACAAGTTTAAGTAATATATTCTACATATTTATAAAAATAGCTTTTAGAAAAAATCAGTAAAATGTTTATGATTTAAATTATTTTACCAACTCTATGATAGCTAAACAATATAGTATACACATTATAAAAATGATTATAATTCAAGATCTTATTAATGAGATACTTACAGAAAATCATCTTCTTCAATAGTAATATCTGAGTCTTCAAATTCAAAAATTTCTTCTTTGATATCTTGTTGGTTATGAAATAATTGATTATCACATCTTTCAAGTGATACTTTTAATATTTTATTACATTTATTAATATTGACATTTCTAAACAAAAATAAAAATTTACCATTAAATATAATTTTTATTAAAAGGAGGATTTCATTTATATTGAAAATGATATGTATAATAAAAACATTTTAACATTTAGAAACTCTTTTAAAGTAATATGTTAATATTTAAAGTTACTTTAATAAGTAAAAAACCTAGTAAATTTCTAGCTTGGTAATGCACAATATAAATTATACAAATACATAGACAGTAGACAAAGAAACTGAAAAAAACAAAGATAATATATGATAATTGTTTAAGTTTTATAACTGTTATTTTAATTTTCTAAATCATATGAAGTAAATGAATTGATATTTCTTAATTAGTTTTAAATACTATACTTGCAAAAATATTTATTATTAGAAGATTATATAAATAACACATAAATGGAATATAATCTTATATTGGCATAAAACCTTGACAATAGTAACAATAGAAGAATAAAAACGAATAGAAGTGTTTGACCTATGGAATTATAAGAGAATGTTAGAGATAAGTTGGATAGCTAGAGTAACAACTATATACTAATAATGAAGTAAAGAGAAAAATATGAGCCTAAAGGTTTTTATGGAAAAATATAGTTAAAAGACGAGAATCATAGAAAGGTAACATAAAACATTAAAAAGTATTATAACTGATTAAAATTGATAATAGAACAAAAAACTCATAAAAGAAAATAAAGACTAGAAAACATTAAATGATTAATAAAAGCCTAACAATAGATATCATACTTCCAAATGAAAAAGAAAGCAGACAATAGAAAAGAGTTAAATATAGAAAATCAATCTAAATGAAGTGGTGGTATTTTATTAATATATTGTATAATGTTAATTTTATTTTAAGCTTTTTTTTTTTAAGTAGAAATGATAACTTTTTAAGCTATAAGAGAGGGGAAAATATTTTTATTTTGTTTCACTGATAAATTGATATATTAGAGTTCATAAAATTGTATTTATATTATGAACAAGCAGATATAAATTGCAAAAATGAAAAATTCATAGAAATATTTTTAGATATAATACTTTTATTAAATATACTTACTTTGAATTTAAATGTTCCATATTGTTCAGTTAAAATATTGATCACTAGAAAGATTTTTATTTTAATTAGTAAAATTAACAGATTATATATATTATGAAATTTAAAAATAATTATAGTACATACCTAGTTTACTATGAAGTACACTTAAACTGTCTAACAACAGATATTTTTGTAATTTGATCTGAAAATATCTATATAAAAAAAAAAAAAAAAAAATGTACATAATATATAAACATACTTGGTGATTATAAGTTGCTGCAAGATAATTAATAAAAAACTTAACATTAATTTTTCAAGCCTTATTTATAAAAAAATTAAAGCTTTATAGATTTGTAAATATAAAATAATTTGCAAATTTTTGTAATTTTGTTAAAATTTGAATAACAAATGGTTATAAAACAAGTTGTTTAGAAATTAATATTACAGCATTTTAAAAATATTGAAAATACACAAACACAAATATCTGAAGTTTTTATTTTGATCAAATTTAATATTTAAGCAAATATTAACAATTTTGTTTATTATTTTATAGACTTATACCTTTTTTTACAAAAAAATAATTATAGGGTCTTGGAACTTCATCTCTGTGTATGATACTTTTCTTACAAAAAATAAAATTTTTAGACTAATTTTAAGCTTTTTATACTATAAATTTATTTGCACCGTTCTATAGTACACAGTATTAACTTGCAAACTTATAAGTAGGGCAAGGATTTTGATGCATTTGCATATTTTTCTGGTTAACTTTATCATACGCTTAATAAGTACATAATATATTTCACAATATTTATGATCAAATAATCAAAATTTTGCATTTTTTGACATTTCTAGGTTTAAAGGACATATTTTTGATTATAAGAATATATTAAAAGTTTTATTGCATGTTTAGATAGTTTAACTAAAATCAAGCACTTTGGTGAATATTTTTCATGAATCAAGGTCAACAATTATTATATAAACTGTGAAATTTCCATAAAAACAATAGACTAATTTTAATCTTAATGGTCAGTGAGTAGATTAGATTACAATAAAGCTAAATCAAATTATATATGACGTTTATTTTTGTATTCTAGTATAATGAATAGTACATAGCTCAATAACTATATAATTTTAAAATTTATGCCATATTTGTATTATGTTTTATTATGTGTTTAATTTTTGTATAAACAATACCAATATGCCAAAAAAAAAAAAAAAAATAATCAACAAAAGCTTATGGTTTGCATAGTTTTATAGTTAAATTTGTTTCCAACGGATTATTTAATTTAATTTTGTAAAATCTGTAACATGAAAGTAACAAGTGAAAAATATTTTAGTATCATAAAACACCTAAAGAATGACAAAAATCATTAGAAATATTCAAACACAGCACATTTAAAAACAAAAAACAAATAATGCACAACAATTAATTACAAACTCTAACCCAAAACTAATGAAATTCAATTCAAGTTTATGTAAAATTTTGTAATCTACAAGTATATCAGTTTATAAATAAAAAAACACTTATTTTAGAATTGTTTAGAAAAATATATGCAAAAAGATGTATCTGACAAATTAACAATTAAAAAATATTATATAAACAATTGTTAAAAACAAATAACGGATAAAATAAGGTTTTTCTGTTCAAGAGAATAAAATATAGGTATTCACTAACTACTGATAACAACAATGAAAGGTATGTAGCTAATGTAATAATTGGTACACTAGAAATTGATTAACCTGAAGAAATGTATTGTTAACATTCAAGGTATTGGAAAAAGTTAATCACTCAACAATAGCAAAATTATTTGATAAGTTAATGACTTTACTATGGCTCAACGGAGTTCAGCTTGACAATGTATTCCTTTTTGTTAAGTGAAGCAATACTTTTTATGGTTAAAATGGCATTCGCAATAAATTTTTTTTTACTCAAAAATGGTTCACATTATGTGTTTAGCTCATAGTTATTACAGAATTGCAGAAGTGTGTAACAAGTAATCAAAAGTAGACAAACTAATTTTTAATGTTAAAAATATTTTTTAAAAGCTTCATATTGAGTACAAATTTTTGAAAACAAAACTCCTGAGGTAAACTTACTACCTGAACCTATAATTACTTGAAGAGGGACAAGGTTAGATGCAATAGACTTTTATTGTGAACATACAAATAAAGCATTTAAAATGTTTTCAAGAAGTTTTTTTTTTTTTTTTGATTCAGATTTTGTATTAAAAATAAAAATATTTTGGCTGACCAATAATTAGATGCAAGTTTTGGAAACTGGAATATATCTAAATTGATTACTAAACTTGGAAAAAAATAGATTAAAACTAGTCAATTTAACTAAAATGTCAACCTAAATTATAGATGAAATTAATATGATTAATACACAATCAAAGACTATAAAATCAGTAATAAAAAAAAACAAATTTCAATTTACTTTATACAATTTTAAATATTTTAAGTTAATCGAGAAAAAGTAGTTATTTTTAATAAAGTCTTTAAATTCTAGATTTTAAAAGGACTTACATAGTATTAATTAAAAAAATATTTTAAAACAATTCTTAATTTGATGAAAAATCAAATCGATAAAGTTTAAAAGTATATGTTATATAATGTAATTACTTAAAATTTAAACCAATGCTGAATAATATCAATAAACAATAAAATTTCCAGAATGAATTTATTAATTCATACTACTTCTTGTCTTAATGCTAAAATGTTAAACTTCATTTAATTGAAAGAAAATTTGATGGCTTTTAATTAAGTTAAGCTTAAAATCTAAAATTTATAAAACAATATTTTATTTTATTATTTCTATAGTAAACGAAAACTTAAAAAACTTTACTATAACTTTTTTTATATTATCAAAATGTGATTTATTGACAGTTAAATGTGTAATGAGTTTAAAACTTTGAGATAGATCATTTAAAATTTAAAAATAATGAATTAAGCTTGTTACTCTAAATTCTATTGATAAATATCTATGTACCGATTTTGTTGGAAACTAGAAAAGTGATTGAAATAGTCAGTAAAATAATTCATGTTGATAAAACTGTACTGGAAAAATTGATAATATTTACAAAAAATATTTATTTTTTTTTGCACAAAAATAATTGAAAAATGTAGACACATTTAGTACAACATTTGAGATTACAGAGGCTTATTATGATTTAAAAAAATATTTGATGAAAATCAAATACCTATAGTCTGTTTAGTGAGAACATAGTACTACTTCTCATTTAAGACTGATGGAAATTACTTGTCCTCGTTCTAAAGTAACTGATGGTAAATTGATGGTCTAGTTGTTTCTTGTTAAAGTGAGGAGAAACGACAAGTTTTCATCTGTTGAAAATACAGGATATTTACTGTTATATCATTTAAATACGTATCATTAAAATCCTGATTCTGTGTAATTGGGTGACGCAACAATCTCAAACAATCAAATTTCACAGATAATTCAAAAACATGAAAAAATAAGATTTTTACATGTTTTATTAAACCAATTAAGCCAATTTGTTGAATTTAAATGATTTCTTTTACATAGGAACATTATATATATAATTGTTATCGTGTATGCTCTTATATAATTTGTATATATTTCTTAAAACAATTCTGGTTAACAGATAATCAAGAATTGAATGTATACATGTTATTTTTTATTTTATATATTTTTTTATAGTACTTACTACTCGACTATATTATAATTGTTTTATATCATATTACTATCGTACTATAATAGCACAAAAATATTTTCACTTACCTAGTGAATAGTGGTTAGTATTTAACTACTACTGCAATAGGACTTGTTGCACACCGCTCTATGCATAAACGTGATCTGATGTTTTGATAATAAATCGATTGTAAATCATACTTTGATGGTGGCGACAATTTACTGATAGACTGGGAGGCTTCGGGAATCCGATTTTCAAACGATCAATGGCTGTCGGCAAATAATTGTAAAATCAGTAACTGATCACTGAAAAGCTCAAATACATGAATCGTCGAGGCGATAAGTGATAACGAAAATTTCTTTGTAAAGCACAATACGGTGTGCGACGTAGCCGCGTCAGCCCTGCTTTAGAAAAAAAGATTAATGTGTGCATATAGATAATATTACCTAATATTTATGTTTGGGAGGCATAAACTTGATAACAGTGGCGTTAAAAATATGAAAATTTCTTTTTTACGCATAACTTAGTGCACACCACAAATTTTGTCTGGAATTTATACATTTTTCAGGCTAAATTAAAATTATATTGGATTTTTAGTATCTACGCTAATGTTCAACTAGTGCGATCCATATAACGCCACTGCGGCGAAAAATGCACTAATATTTAAGAGATAACGATTAACAGTAACGGTCCAATCACAGATTCACTTGTGCTCTTAATAACGCTAACTGTATGGTAACATATAAATAATATTATTTAAATGGACTGAATTGACATTTTCTATAGCGATGGTACCACAGAGAAAATATTAAGTCCGTTAACTTAGCATCTGAATATATATATATATATATATTATACTTAGGTATCATTAAGACAGTACTGACAGTGCCCACTGCCCAGTGCCGTAATACCTAGGAAATTTAACACTCGAGGCTAATAAAAATGTCATTTATCATCTTTATACATATATACATATGAATAGTATAGAACATGTCAATATTATGCTTAAACCATTGAAAAATATAAAAACATAAACATTAATTAAAAAACTCTTTATTGAAATTAAGTAATACTTAAAGTTTTATTTCAGAAAAATTGGAAATTTTTCTAGCCTTTTTTTTAACAAAATCATTGATTATAATATTTTTATAATTTAATTGTCTTGCATTTGTATTTTCTATAGATGTAATAGATAAGTGATTAAACAGTATAGGTATTTGCTCTGTAGTAAATCGTAGGTATGCACTAATTAATTTTAATTTGTTAAGCTTTTATTTATATGAAACAAAAGTAACTGGTATTATGAGATACATTTGGTAAGCAACTGATATTTGGATATGCATCATAGTATCTTGAAGTTTATTTAAAAAAATAAAATTCAATATTTCAAAAAATTTGCTTTTTTAAAATTTCATTTAGGTACGTTGTAAATATGCTTTTTAAAGCTCTAATTTTCTAAATGAATTCAAATGTGTCAATATCATTTTCATATTTATTGCATAAATCGACTCCGGATCTTTTCAAGTTTTTCATAGGTCAGAATAAAATAAATTATTGTTAGATTTAAAAATGAAAAATCTCAGCGATATTTTTTATTGATTTAAATCCTTGACGTAGTCCTATTAAGCTATTGTCAATAATATTTTTAATTATTATTAAAAAAAAATCTTTCTCTAGTATTATAAAACTCATTTTCTGCAATTTTTCCCAATAAAAGTTTTTTTTTTCGTAATTTGATTTTTGAAAATTTAGTTTCAAAAAACTTTCTCGATTCTCCTCTCTTGATTCGGCACTGATGAACAGTAGTCAGTAATAAGTGACAATATTGCATATTATTCAATTACCTATGTACATCTTAAAAGGGAATTACAAAGAAAAGATTAAGGATTTAAAGAATACAAAAAAAGAATAAAAATGAAAAAAAGTTATTTAATATTTATATTTTTTATAGTTAATATTATATATCTATTAGTATCTATTCAATATAATTTTTAAAAAAACATTGAAATTTGGAATATTATTTTATTTAAAAATGTTGCAATGATTTTATTTTATTTTAATAAAATATAACATTTTGTATAATATAGAGTAAAACAAGTTCTATTGTTAGAAATTCCATGTATAAAGCTTTTCATTATTCACTAAGTAATTATTTTAATGTGTTATATGTTATTATTCAATTGGATAAAATTTAGTTTTTCGACAGTTACCAATGTGTTACAAACAGTTTTTTATCCTTATATTTATTTTTAAAAATGGAAATTTTAAATCTAATAAAAGCAGTGAAAAGGTAGGTTTTAAAGGGTACACTTGAATTTTTTTTTTTTTTGAATAATTTAAACATACAATGTACCCAATGAAACATTCTTATGATAATATACATATTATTATAATATAAAGTATAAAATATGTTTTGATAGATTTTATTTTTTAATTATTTTTAATTTTAGTGTGAAATCATCATTCAAAGATTTAAAAATGAGTGCATGAATTTTTTTAATAACATTTAAAAACCATTATTTTATCCTAAAAGATTCATTGTTAATAATTAAAATACATGGTCAGTGCGAGTTAGTTAAACAATATGTTAAACTAAAATCTCATTTGGGTATAATTCACTAAAGACTTTAACATTTTTACCAACAAGGGGTTAAAAAATGTTATGTATACTTCTATTATAATTAACTACTTAGATAAAATATTGTAAGAAATCCAAAAATTTAAAATATAAGCTAAAAAATAATATAATTAAAAAAAAAATGTGGGTAAATGAGTACTGTTCTGTTATACTTAAGGTATAGAGTGGGTCACTATTATAGGTTTGTTAAACTTGAACTTAATGATATATTTTTGTCTGCGAAAAAGGATTCTTAGTGGGAACGATCTATTAGCTTATGCCATCAAGTAATAATATTTTTTGTTATAGCTATTAAAATAATTAATTTTTCTTTTAGAATTGTAATAGGTTCATAGGCATAAATAGCAAGAGGGCTAGGGGGCTAAGCCCCCCTAAATTCTGTATAGCCTCCCTCCAAATATTAATGACTATAGTCTTATCGTTTGTCAGTCAATATTGTAATAAAAAATGTTTTCAGGTGTTCGAGATGGATTTTGACTTTAGCCCCAAACTTCAAACACTATTTGCGCCTATGAATAGGTTGATAACATTTTTTTTTTGAATGCATTGCATTTATTATTAATATAATACTAATAATTTTGTATTTAATTATTATAATAATATAAATTTATATCACAATAGTTATTAATTATATAGCTCAAAATTTAAAATTTATTTCTGTGAATACCGTAAAAGTTTAAAAATAGATTCATAGTACCTATGAATAGATAATATTTAAAAATAAATCAAAAGTTTTATTGCGTATTGTAAAATTCATAATAATATGAAATAAATAAAAGTTTAAGTGCCTACAAATAAAGTTTTTAAATTTTAACAAAATAATTGTCTTTATGCATTTTTTAGATTTTATGGTTTCAGTATGAATTACTATAAAATAAAAGTATAAAATTATTTTATAGACATAATATAAATTTATGAATATTTTTGCTTTTTAAACGTTTAAATTTTTCTACTTTTTAGTTTTATTTTGATAAATGTGTGATAGGATAAAATGTTTATTTGTGATTTTATAAATATAAAACTTTGAAAATGTAATACAAGTTTTCTTGTAAGCTGAACTTGAAGAAAATAAGAATCCAGCATTCCAGCCGCATTTTTTTTAAGCATTCAATTATGAAAATGTATAAATTATTTTGTAGTGTATTTTAATCACCTGAGGTTTAAAAATTTGATATAATTTAACTCTAAATTTATGTATTGAAAATAAAAAAAAAGTTCAGCGCTATGTCACATACATTTTTTATGAATGATTAAAGTATATAAAATGTTGATTTTGATATATAATTGTATAATAACTTTTTATTCTGATCAAATTTTTATTATTTTGTTATTATTTAAAAAAAATATTTTCTTGTACTGAAATGTGTTAGACTATTTTAAACAATTTTACCAAGGAGTTAAGTTAATTAAAAAAAATTTTAAACTTGTAATAATATTGCGTTTGGTGACTTGAATTTCATCAAATCGCTGATACTCGTATATTTGTGCATCTTCGTCACTTTTAAAGGAGATTTAAAGATTTGTATTTAGCGTCAGGAATCGATAAAAGTGATTATAATGATAGATTTATCTTTAAATTTTAAAAGTTGACATGTATTGGCCGTGGACGATTTTGTTGGCTCCAAATGATGTTACTTGAAATGCATGCATTTCTGAAAAATTGTATTGGCAAATATTTTGCCAAGGTACCTACTTTGAATCAACTGATTTTACAGAGACAATGACTGACAATTTAGACGGTGAATTAAATTATTCAAAGCATCCAACTTAAATTTATCATTTATATACGTTAATGAAAAGAAAAAAAAATCCAACTCGGACACAGAAAGTATGAAATGTCAACATACATAGAATACACAGATATTTCTAGTCTATTTTGCTTGTCGCCTTGTCTATGTATAACGATTGCTAAATTTAAATAAATGTAAAGATAAATTATTATTCAATGGTTGTGAAGAGTCCATAAAATACGAACGGACAAACATTTATTTTTTTACACACGATTAATACCGAATTATGTTTTAATATTATAATTTGTACCTAAGTATTTTTCTATATTAAACTTATTAATCTAACCTTTTATTATTTAGATAGGTATATATAATTAATACAAAGTCATATACCTCACACATATTATACTTTAACACTTATTGATATTAAAGTATAAATCAATTTTATTTAACATGTAATTGAATTATTGGATCCAATTCTTTTAAATTTATTTAATTGTCTCTTTACGTGTAACATGTATTTATGAGACCCATATATATATATATATATATAAGTTATTTATGTTGTTTTTTATCGATGTGTGTAGATACCTATAGACTATAATCCATTTATACTATTGTTTACGAGTGCATACAGGCATGTATAGCTTGCATAAATATATACATACCTATCATCGGGTGATTGATGTTTAAAGGGTTTGTTTATAGTCGATAAAATTGTTTTACAATATAATAAATCGATATTATATTGAATGAGCCAATGAGGTGGATGCGACAGACGCGAAATGGCAGGGGCTGTAACATTTTATAATATTATGTATAATATTTTAACAAGAAACGAGTGTGCATTCAGGAAATTCCATTTCTTCTTTCAAATATAAAATGAAAATAATAACAATAAGTATAGCTATAAAGAGTTATATAATGTCTATATGAAATGCTTTTATACATTTTTTATTATAGGTATTTAAAGTATTTATCTAACTGTATAAAATAAAGATATTATAAATTAAAATAGCCAAATCAAAAAATGTATATATTATTTTGCAGCTTTTCTTCTAAAAATATTTTTGTATCTACCCATAACTAATTATTTTACTAATAGCTAATAATATATAATAGAAAATAGTTATCAATAAGTTACTTGGCAATTTTAATTTAATCTTACACAATTTTTATTATATTAAACATAAAATATTGTGTAATATTAATATGAACAAGTATAATGACTACAAATAAAAACTTTTTCTCATCACATTTTGACGTTAGTTTCTAAAAATTATTTTTTTTTTTTTTTACACCGATTATTAATATATTCATATAAATTTATGCTTTTTAATTTAAATACTTACAACAAACTCATTAGGGCAAAATATTTTGTATAGGTAGACATGGAGTGTATAGAATAGAAGGTAGGTATATGTTTTGAAGTTGATTTATCACTTTTGTATGTGTTTTTGTCTGTAATTTAATTAAGCTATTATATAGGTAAATAAATTTAGCCAAAAAAAAAAAATAAAAATAAAGAATAAATATATATATATATATTTGTACTGGTATTATGGTAAGTTCGTTACAAATTTTAAAATGAAATGATGAAATAAAAGGAAAAATAATATTCATCTTTGTAACAAATTTTATAATAAAATGAGTAGAAAGAAAAATAAGATCACTCAAATGCGTTCACTGACTAAGGCTGTGGCAGTGATTTAAAAAAAGGAATGCCCGTGGGAATATAAACTATGAAGTACCCCTTAGGGCTTAGGGTTCGTCATAACGTTAAAAATATTTACAACAGTAAGACGTTTGCATAAAAAAAAAAAATATTTATGTATATTGTACATTAGATTTACGTACCTACCTAGAATTTAATTAGGTTTCTCGTTTTTGCGTTTATTTCTATCTAGTGCAATCGTCGTGTATAATTCAAAAAGAAGTTTTATTAGATACAATATATATATTATATATATAATATAAACATAAAAATAAAAGGTAATATAACGCTGTGCTTGATAACTTCTACAACTTTATAATATAGGCGTCAACGTTTCTAATACCGCACTCGAATCACTCGTCATCATTGTTTATGATTGCATATGCCTTGACCATGGAAAACAATGAATAATAAGTGGTAAAATTGTGTATATGTATATTATCATACAAAACTATAGTCTTGAGACCTCATTGAAGTCATATTGAGCTTTTATAACACGTTTAATATGTGTCCATTTTTTGCATATATTTAACGTATAGGAAATATAATGGAATTTAATGTAAAAGTGACCCCTCACGACTTTTATTTAACCTTAAAAACGTTTTTAATCTAACATGACTTAGCCTTAAGAATTAAGGTTAGAAGGTTAGTGGTGTGTGTATATGAAAAGGATGCAAAGGTTTCACCTGGAAATGATTGAGATGGTAGTTGATTACGGACCGGATGCTTATACGTATTATACTAACCAT